ACAAGCCCCCCACGCCCCCCCCCCCCAGCCCAGCGGCTGTATCTCAAGGGTCTTGGTCCTTCAAGTTGGCTGCTTGGTTGCAAAAGACTGCAAGGCTGTTGCTTCCAGCCAACGCCAGCACCGGGGCCGTGTTGCTCCTCACCTCTCTCTATGTCCATGATGACGGAGGTTTTCCCCGCGTTGTCCAGCCCCACGACGAGGAGGGTCACCTTTCTGGGGAGTGACAACAGCGGGTGAGCATCCCAGAGAAAGGTTGGGCTCCCTGGGGAGCGGTGATCACTGCTGGCCCCAGGGCTCCCAGGCAAGGGACCCTGCGCACTGTGGCCGTGTTTTGGCCAGGAGAGGGGCAGGACGGTGACACAGGCCCTGGCCGAGCGGGGGGCGAGGGCAGGGACAGTCCCTGGGAGAGGGCGAGGGCAGGCACAGGCACCTGGAGCCACCCCGGCACTGTGGGTCAGCCACGCTGCGGAGCCTTCAATGCACTTCCTATGGCAATGATTTCTTTCCAGATCACATAGGATTAAGCAATGACATGCACAGGCCAAAACAATTGTTCCTTATATGCAAAGAGTTAATGATTGCTCTCGGGATCCTTCCGCATCAGAGGGTCACGGGTATATGTGGCTGGGGAGAGGTAGCAAGGACATTTTACGAGCTTCTGCCTGGACTCAGGAGGTTTTTCCTGTTGCTAAACAGCCCTGTTTGGTCTCCAGCGATGTGCTCCACTGGAGCCACGTGCAGAACGTTTTCCCTGCGGTTGACAAGCCCCAGTAGTCATTCGCAGTGTCCATTTCTTCCTTAAACATAGAGACCAGGCTGCGTGGGCGGCGCGGCTCCACCTCCAGCATTACGGCAACGTGTCCTCGTTGGCGGGAGAGGGCCAGAACCCCCCTCACCGCCTGCCGTGCTGGTGCAGTGCTGTCCCCAGGGAATTAACCCGGGTCTCCTGAGGCGTGTAAACACGGCAGGGGTTTCACTTCGTCCTCCCCAGCTTTCTTGGGGAGCTGCTGGCTTTGCACGGGGGGGG